ACACTGAAGAGCAACAGGAACGTAGTTGAGGACACCAAAAGGGGGGGGTGTCACATGAAGAGGCTTAGATCAATGCTCTTTAGAAAAAAATAAGTTGAGTGCCAACTTGAGTACAATATTAAACACATGTAACCACCAGCTGTATTTTAAAAGGAATGTTGGATTTATTTTTGTTACTACACCAGAACTGCCAATTTATTTGCTATACCTAAAGCAAATCCCAAATCACTCACAAGTTACATCAGATTCCGTTGATGTGGTAAGATGAGTATCAGTCACCTGAGCATATGATCTTATAAATGCCTAAAAGTTTTTAGCTCTGTTTAAGCCATAAATTAAAGCTAAATTATATAAGGGTAAGATACCTGTGGGTTATTGGATGCAATTTATTAAATGAGAATCCACCCAATTAATACTTGATAGGAAAAAAATCCCTTATTAATTCAGTTAAATGAGGAACTGGGAACAAGGAACTTCAGCCAAAGCTGAACATTTACCTGTTTTTCCTTCCCACAATGTGTCACCAGTCCCTGTATCGTCACAGATAAATGGTATTTCCAACTCCAGCTGAATTTTTCATCTTACATTCTTTGCATAAACTCTGAGGGATTAAACAATGTCAGGAAACACTATAAAACCAGCCCTGGAATAACTCGCACAGCAACTTTTGGTTGGTGTTTTTTTTTCAACTGTCCAGCACAGCACTTGTTTTTCTCTCATGTGATGGAGTCATAGCAAGGAAATCATGGCCAAAGGTCCTCTCCATTAAATCATTCAACCAGCAGAATGCCACAGAAATGCTGTAGGAATCTTACAGTTACAAAGAGACCGTCAGGGTAGGGCTCTTCCATGGACAGAAGAAGGATGAGATTAGTTTCATGTTTGTGTGGGATGTGCCAGAGTTAACAGGGCTGATTTTACCTTGCCAGGCGAAGCCTTAACCAGGCACCTGTATCAGAGTCAGCTCTGACCAGGAGAAGGGGGCAGAACTTCAGGCTGGACCTGCAGGAAGGGAAGGCCATCCCTGTGTTTGTTGAGTGTTATAATCTGATTACAGATCTGGGGTTACAGTGACCACGGGAAGAATTTGGCAGCTGGATGCACTGTGTGTGGGGTGTTCCACCTGCCCAGAACCTGCAGGATCTCTCACTTCTCTCCTGCTGCTCAGTGAAGATTCTGACAGCCCAGCAGTGCTGAGGGAAATCACCACCACCTCGTTTTCCTCAACCATCTTGGCTGCTGTTTTTCACTTCACATTGATCCTGGGATTCTGTGATTCACATCTCCCTGGCATTGCCTTCAGTTTTGGGAGGGGTGGGGAGAGCCACTGCCTTCAGCCCCACCTCAACTGCACATCCTGAAGAGCTACAATGCTTTTGGCAGCTCTGGGCAAATCCACCCTGTGCTAAAAGAGCTGCCTGGAGCAGAGAAACAACCTTCTCCCTGTCACAAACACCAACAGTTCGGGGCAGTAACAGCAACCTGTCCCTTCCCTGCTTCCCTCCTCGCTCCACTGACACTCCTGGCCACCAGCAGAGGCCTCACAGCCCGGCACTGCAGCTGAGAACAGCACTGTCCTGTATCGTGACTCTCCCACAGACAGCAATTAGTACAGCTCATCCTTAACGACCCAAGGGGAACCACTCCCTAAAAAGAAAAAAGAGTGAAATTGCCAAGGGTTGGCAGTGTTTGTGTCCCATGCCCTTCAGCTGATTCCACTGAACTAGAACATACAGATCCCGGTAGGAATCCTCCCAGGAAAAGCCTCCAGCCATGAGGGTTATCTTGTCCCTAAAAAGACACAACAGTCTGACAGCCCTGCAGAGAGTTACGGTCCCACTAAAACCCTTTTTCACTGATCCTCAATGAAATTTCTGTGAAAAAGCATCAGACCACAAACACCACATCTGGCACCGTTTTGGAGCCACTGCAGCGATTGTCACTCCTGTGGGAGCACCACGAGCTGGGTTTGGCTCTCCAGATGCTCCCGAGTGCCTGTTGGAGGATCACACCAACCTCTGCCCTGGGGAAGTGCTGGGTGCCACTTCAGAGAGCAGAGCACAGGGAGAGTCCCACACCTGGCCTTGTAAAAAAATAAAGCTGCAATTAGTCAATAATGGAAACTTTGAGCTGGAACCACAATATTTTTCCCCCCTCACAGGAGCCTGTCACATTCTGCCTGTCACATCGTTATTGCCCAAGTCTTGGCAAGAACAGTCTCATGCAGACCTTGAGAGCGAAGGAGGCAGTTAAATTGTTTATTAACGACAACAGAAATAAAGTTAAACTGATAAAGAAAACAGATACTTCTTTAAATATAAAGTTTCTAGTCTAGTGCTCTGTCAGGCTCCCCTCTTTCTTTTCTTTTTTCTTTTTTTCTTTTTATTTTGTAGTTACAAAAATCCAGAGGATTTAGGGAAATATACTTAACATAAATTGGTCATCTACAACAACAGCAAACATTGTATAAAGAAAAAAAAAAACTCAAAATGTATTTACAAATCCATCCTTTGTAGTCATTGAGAAGTTTCTTGGTTAACAAGTAACAGATTTATGCATGGACACCACATTCCCAGAGGCATTATCCAAACAGAGTCACTTGGCATAAAATTAAGCTGACAAACAGATTGTCTAAAAATAAGGCCAGTTTCACTCCTAATTTATGCACCAGAATTTCCTGCAATTCCTATGCTGATTTAAAAAAAAAAAAAATAGCATAAGAGCACCTAAACTCACCCAAATGGGATATACAGACCAAACTCCAAGTTTCTTTCTTAGCTCTTCAGAGCAGACACTCATGAGAAAGGACAATAGGATACAGCTTTTTGCCATCTTGTCTATTGCTGATTTTTAAATGCTTGTGCAAAAACAAACCCCCCATACCCTATTTGCAGTATGATCATAAATAGGCAATAGTTTAAAAATGTAAGATATGATTACCTTGGACTATCAAGCTGTTTCACACTTCAGAAGAAAGTGGACAAAGCCCAAACACCTTTCTCTTCCTTTCCCTCCCTTTGTCCCCTCCCTCCACTCCCGTTTCCAAACCAGGGAAAAAGAAGTTATACTCTAATGGATCTTGGAACTGGCACCAACATTCATGCTTGTTGCCCTGATGTGCAACAGAGAGTTCATTTACAAGAGTCAGAAATATTCTTATGCACTAGCCCCAAAGACTTCAGCTCCAGAAGCATTCCAGAAACAGTTTGTTTGGGAAGAATCCCATCAGGTACGATGTGGGCAGTGCCCAGAGGGCTCAGGAATGTCCAGCACCCTGGGTCGATCTTCAGTGTCATCAGTAGCTGTGGAATCTTCATCTTCATCCACTGCAGGCTCATTAGGATTTGTTTCCTAATACAAAATACACCCGTGGTTTAATTAAAACCTCCTCTTCCAGTTATAAGAAAGCACCAACAACTGCCTAGAAAAATCTGATCTGCATTATCACAGTGATGAACTGAAGCAGACATTGTGATCCATGTCCTAAAAACAGCTCCTCACAATTGCTGAGCTTAATTTGCAAAAGAGATCGTTCTACCAAGTTACTTGACTTTTGACTCAGCAAGTCTCCCTTGAGTTTCATCATTCCACACCTTCCACTGCGTAAACCCCAATTCAGTATTTCAGCTCTACTCCTTTTCTTGGTGGCTTGTTGCCTTTTATTTATTTTAAAAACAAAAAGATCATTGCTGCCTTTCAAACACAGGTAGAGCAACAGAGAAAAGCAAGTTATTTTTGCAGTCAGCTGAAGGGAAGGAGGTTTCAGCTCCCAAAACTACGAACAAGAGATGTCATTTGCTGTCAGAAGCACGACATCTGCTGGCACCTCCTGTTAGAGCCCCTGGGAACAAGTGCCTCAAATCCTGGGATAAACTTGAGGAAGTGCACAGTGCCTACCCCTGAGGAAAGGCTCAGTGCTTGCACAAAACTAGGGATAAAATACATCAAGGGTTCTTCTCTACATGTGCCAAAGAAAAGGGAGAAATGATACAATTAACTTGCAGTCTCCAAAGTAAAATTGCATTATAATTTACAGCGAGTGAAGCACTTTGGTGATTTGCAAAGTCCCTTTATGAAATGCACTTTCAGCAAGAACTAATGAACATCACACAGACTGCACAGCCTCTAAACTGCCATTAACTGGAACTCATCTGGAAAAAGCTCATCTAGAACAGGTGAGTGTGGTCCTACAGACCACACTTCCAAGACCCTTTCAAGAAAGAACCTTTTAAAGAACTCTGAAACCCAAACAGCTCCTGCAATATTACGTTTGTAGGCAAGATATCTGAACTCTCATTCGTGGTCTGCCTGGAGCCGTTCTGAAAACTGCACCTCCACTTACCATTCATGCTGTAGACACCTTGAATGTTGGACACACCATATGAAACCTGGGAATCGTGACATTAAAGAATCTGTCCTTGTAGTAGAGGCAGTGGAAGGTGTAATAGCCCTCCATGTATCCAGATGTCGTGGAAAACGTAGTACAGCTGGTGTATTCGTAGACTCTCCCTGGGCTGATGATTGGAAACTCCCCTGTTGGTAAAATATTACATCCAAATGGTAAGGACTGAAGTAGAACTACAATTTAGCAATTTGCTAAAGCACTTGCACTCCACAGCATGTTCAGGCCACTCCTTTTATATTCCAGGGGATGCATAGATGACTTTCAGCAATTACTGATGTTCAGATATCCCTTACCAAACAACTTTAAAGCCAAAAAAGACGTATGTTTTTTTTCTATCAAGTGACAAAAAGACTTTGATCCAAACAATAAAACTACCACCCTGACCGACAGCTAGTAACAGAATTGTCACAGTAAGGACATTACTCTCTCTGTTGGGTTAGGAAGTGCAATCTCTCACTTACCAACCACTCCAGGCCCTTGGACTTCGTCCACGTCCCCTTTGGCATTGGTTATTCTCCAATAGCGGCTGTCCAGCTGACAGGCCTTCTCGGGAAGGGCATCTTTGGACATTTCAATCCTAGGAGCCGAAGGACACAGTGGTTACAAAGCTACTTTCACACACTTCAGGAACCTGACTCAGCTGGCAGGATCCATCTCCATGCCCCCTTCAGGGGGCATGGAGATGGATCCTGCCAGCTGAGTCAGGTTCCTTTAGCCCCTGGCTCTGTTATTTACCCCTTTCTAAATCACAAGAGCTGCTTGCAACTTCCTTCCCCTCCACCCCACAGTGCTTTTCCAATAACCACCTTGGCAGGCAATGATTTAGAGAGTTTTATATCAAAGCACAGCACGTTGGGCCCATCCCGTTCATTTTGAATGCTGGGCATAAATTTGGCAACAGCTGATTGCTTTGAAGATTCCGCAGATCTGTTAAAAGAAATAATTCGGTTTCATTCGATTTTTACCTGATTCTGTAAGTGAAGAAGTAATGTGGTGGATGCACAGAACTGAGTTCAGGTAGAAAAGAGGTGGACACGGACACAGTGATATCTTCTGTGGTAGCAACACAGTCTTTATCGTGCACATACCTACAGAGAGGGAAGCATTAACTCTGCAAACCGCTCTGCACCCTCAATACAGAAAAACAGACGTGGGAAGCCATTAGTTAAGTGCTAATAAGAACAGTGTGATGCTAAGTTAAATGTAATTTTTGACCTTTCATTAAGCAGTAAAATAAAGGATGGGTGTGTGCAGTGTCTTCATGCTGTGTAATTCCTCATCACCTACGAAGCTGTGCTTCTCTAACTCCATTAACACTTGTACTGAGTTAGGTGCACTGTTTGATCTGAAGTCAATGAAAACACATGTGTTTAATGCATGTGTATTAATTGTACATGTAATTAACAATACGGTTGTGTCACTGTGCTATTCAAAAAACAAACCCTAGAAACTCTAACAGCAAATTAATTTACAGACCGAGAACTCGGTTCTACAGCATCCCAGTTCGACAGAATTAAGGTTCTTGGTTGTATTTAGAAGAAA